GACAGCAGTGACCTGCTCTTTGCAAAGTGGAAAGATACACCTGCCACTTTTTAAAGCACTGCCCCTTCTCTCATTTCCCTTAAGCAAGCCCAGAATGAAATTTGTCTGTGGAAATTTGGAGTGTTACATTGATTCAGAAGAGATATGTAAGGGTTATTGGAGAAAAAGCAGTCAATCAAAATAATAAAAATAATTCTTCCTTTAAGATAAATTTTTTCAAAAAAAAAAAAAAAGCAAGCATTTTTTGTGAAAACATAAATATTATTTGTAAGCATTTTCTAATATATGTTACAAATATACAGTTATTTTGGGAAAATGCAAGCAAAAAAAAAATGTATAAATAAAAGACATGTATTGATAGGACAAGGGCGAATGGCCTTAGATTAGGTTTAGATTAGGTATTAGGAAGAAATTATACCCTGTGAGGGCAGTGAGGCCCTGGCACAGATTGCCCAGAAAGGTTGTGGACTCCCCATCCCTGGAAGTGTCCAAGGCCAGGTTGGACGGGGCTTGGAGCAACCTGGGATAGTGGAAGGTGTCCCTGGCCTTGGCAGGAGGATGGAACAAGATGATTTTTAAGGTCCCTTCCAACCCAAACCATTCTGTGATTCTATGATAATAAATATTATAATATAATATAATGTAATATAATATAATACAGATATTATATAATCAGTATAATATAAAGAAAGGTCCAAAACTGTGCTGAAAGGGAAAGGATGATACATGGTTCTGATCTTCCATACTAACTTGCAAAGAAATGGTCACACACACCTTGAGTCTTGAGTAAATTTCCATTTCAGTCATGTTCAGAACAAGGACAGTTTTAATGTATAAAACAGTAGAAGTTAAGTTCTTTCCTTTCAAATAGTGAGATATTGTCTATCTCTTTCATTATTAACAAGAAGCATATGGAGAGTACAATGAGCATTTTTAATTCTAATTGTATTTCATCCAAAATCGTTTCCCAGTTCACATAGAAGTTTCTCAAAAAGACTTCAACAACTCCTATGAACTCCACTGAGTTGTTTGCTTAGATCAGTTAAAAAACAAGGAATGTTTATGCTGAAGTGTATAACTGGAAAAAACCTATTAATTTTTGTTTCTAGTCTTTCTTCAACATTTGGGAAAAATGAAATCTGTTCACATAAGACTGATTTTAATAGATGGTACATGTGCAGAATCCTCAGTTACAACAGTAATATAATACAAGAACATGTCACTGCTTTTCCCTCTCCTCTGCTCTCTGAAGTCTTATGCAAGTCTTGATTTGAAATGGAAATAAATGTAACAATTCCTACAGTACAAGATGTATGTTGGAAAATCAAAGTGAAAGAAGACAGTCATTCTCCATGGCTCTGGTTTGTATAAAATATGGTTTGGCCATAAGACATATATTTCCAGTACCCTTTGAAGATTTAGCCATCCTCATATGAAATTGCTCTTTTCTCTAAAGGTCTAGTAATATTTGTGTGTATAAAAGAAATAGGAAAAGTTTACTTCCAGCCATAATTTTGCTACTGCCCACGGTCTACATAATGTCATTAACTGGAGTAGAATTTAAACTATATGATGTCTTAACTATTCTTTATGAAGTCCTTTACTGGAAATCCTAGTTTATAGAAAGTAATAAAGGAAGGATGATCACATTTGACAGAAATGCTCCAAGGAAACTGTTATTAATATAGGAAAGAACCCTCAAAAATTTATAGAAGATTGCTCAGAATAAATATGTGTGGGGAAACATTTCTTTTTAGGAACTTCTGAAACTGACTGAATGAAAGGAAAAAAGATTAATTACTTTAAAGATATGAGTAGACTAGACATCTGCACATAGTGGGATTTATATATGAATTCAGAAATAGGCATGAAATTAATTCAGTAACTTCTTGAGTGCAAGAAGTTTTATATATATATATATATATATATTAGAAGTCCCCAGTGCAACCAAACCCTTATCTCCATGGTATACAGCACATGCAACTTGTGTGATAACTGGGGAGCCATTCACAGCAGCTTAAGGCACAGCTGCCAGCAAACCCATGGAGATTAGAATGTGATTCATAGCCCTTGTTATCTGCTGAGTGGATTTTTCATGCAGAATATAATTTGATGGGGGAGTGGACTTGGACAATTCTTTATGAACTTCCCCTGTGATAAAGTGGATGTGCCCAGTGCACTGCAGAGGGCATGGTACAAAGAAGACAAAACCCAAACCAGATCAATGGTATCTACAACACACAAATGGTACTGTGTGTTCAGTGTCCAGGTTAATTACTAGATGACAGTGATGTACTGCCCCAGAAGGTCTATTTTTTAGAGAAGTGTTCTTTGCATGGTAGGACATCTCTCTGAATAGGTCTGTTCTTCCTCTGAAGAAAAGTAATGTGAATTAATGTATTGTTTTTTTCTGGAAACTCTGTGCTTAAGTCTTGACACATGGCATGCTTTGGAATGAGCAGCTTTACAAGGAATGGAGTTGTAATAACCCCAAGTGTCTTAAATAACCTGTGCTGCTGGGACCTCTGTGCCCTTCCCAAAGACATCCTGCTGGGGAAGGGAAATTGGGTAAATAAGTGTTAAGAGCTACCAATGCTTTTTGACACAAAGGTTGTGGTGTGGTATTGCTTTATAATGTCTCACTTTTCCTGGACTGCTGAGCAAGCTCAGTTTTAACTATTGGATGCAAATTCCTAATATGATCTTGAATTAATCATTCTTGTTTTCCATTAAAAAAACACCTAATTATTCTTGTTTTTCATAAAAAAAACCTATTTAGTGCAATTTCTTGTGATATGTTAATGAATAACTAAGGAAAGGATAGAGCAAACATTTTATAACTGTGAATATTGTTAACAGAAACAACAATATGTGTGTGATATGCCTTTCATGTCTCTATCACATTTATCTAAAAATAGGTACTTTTCCTGCGCAGTAAGAAGAAAACAGCATCCTCCTCCAGCAGGCTGCTACTTAACCTTGCTCCTTTTCATCCACTTCCCAGTGTACAGCAATCTTCTAGAGCTCTCTTTGCAGAAATTTAATTACTAGTTTTATTTCTACAAATGTTTAAAATTGAATCCCTTTTGCACCTTTCATTCTTTATAAGTGATGTTTTCCGAAATGTTTCTATTACATGGAAACTTATCTGCAATTTTCAAAAGCCTCACTGAATCAGTGAGCCATAAACTTTTCATTCCATGACTAGAACTTCAGCAAATGGTAAGAAGACACATTGAAAATTCTTAAACTGTTATTGATTTCTAGAGATGCAGAGTTTTGGGGTATTTTTCATGATATTTTTAAAAGCACGTCCTATGTTTTCTTGGACAAGGAAAAAAATCCAGGTTTTCCTCACTATTGTCCAAAATCTATCAGTGCTCGCACATGTCTCTCAGTCCACCTGACATTGGCTTCCTTCTTGAGGTTGGATACTGGAATAAATGGATCATTTCTTTATTCTGGCTCAGCAGATCTTTGTAATAAGAGCTATCAGAAAGGGAAAAGGCACAATATTCACTTTGAATTGAAAAGGAAATGAATAGTGGAAGGGCAGAAATCGAAGAGAGAAGGGGCAGCAGTGACCTGTGTAATGGGGTGGCTGTGGTGGAATACACCTGGTATTCCTGGTATTTCATTGAGTAAATCTTGTTTACCTGCATTTTGAAGGACAGGATGAGTCTCCATGTCTGCTTTAAGTATTTAGCAGGTGCATGACTCATAAGCCCTTAGTTATTGTCAAAAACTTAATGACTACAATTGTTACTCTATCAAATTTACTGTATATTCTCAAGTGCAGCATTGACATGATGGGAGCAACAGTTTTGTGTTGGACTGTGGAAAACAAACGTAAAAATTCCACATCTGAGGGCTGATAGAAATACAGAAACTGAAAGCAAAAAAAAAAAAAAAACCTACTGTGTGAAATGATAGTTTATCACATCTGGCTTCTCTCATGATGATAGAATCTTGAAACAATAATCCTGTCAATAAGAATAGGAAGAAAAGGAATCTTAGTTAAATGAAATTGGTAAAGTTATGTTCTTTGCACTTCTTTATACTTTTGCTTACTGTAACAGTACAGCTGTGTACGGACAGGTCAGTTGACTCATAAGAAAAACATGGGATTTTTAAGGCATTTACAAAAAGTGTCTCCAGGATCCTACAAGGCAAAGAACTAACTGTTTCAAACAGCTGTTTTGGTGGCTGAGAAGCTGCCACAGCATCCAGGGAAGGAAAGACTGCATAGCTGTTAATAAATATCTCTATATAAGTATCCCACAGACATTTACCTCAATGCTACTTATTGTGGTGGTTAAATCAGTAATCTGGTGGCATCCAGATACCTCAGAACTACAAAAAAATAGTGATTTAAATGAAAATTAATGAATACACATGCATCTGCTAGTACATACAGTGGTTTTAGGCATGCATATCTACATACAGATTTTTTTTTTATTTCTGTGAAGTATTTATGATCTGCTTTTAGTCCCCTTAAAATATAACCAATAAACTCTTACAAGCTTTAGCAATGTAGCATCCCCACGGTGTAACAGGCATCCTAGAAAAACAGCTTCAGAACTTGCGTGGCTTCAGAGCTGCCTCCCCTCTGCAATCTTCTACCATCACCAATTCAGACTCCTGTTTCACGTGTGCACCATCATTCAGTGATGTTGCTTCTAAATATGCCCTAAAAAAACCAATCACAAAGGCAAACTTTAAAATATTTAAGAGAACTCCAAACAAATGTGTATCGCACCACTGAAGTTGAAATCAGACTTCCGTGCTTAAAAAGGAAAAATTCTCTCCAACCACTATTTGTGTATTGAGGATTGGATTCCTTATAATATACCATCTAATGCATGTAAAACAGCTGGAGCTCTTTAAGTGAGTAGAGCATCTGCTCAGTGAAGCAGCTGGCAGCCAGTTATTTGTATTGCAATTGCACTCCTGAACTTCTTTTTTCTTTCTTTCCTTTTTTTGTTTTTTTTTTTTGGCAGATGTACAGCAAATAGCAATCGACTGGATCACGGGGAATTTTTACTTTGTGGATCACGTCAGTGACAGGATCTTTGTTTGCAGCCAGAATGGGTCAGTGTGTGTCACCCTCATCGAGCTGGATCTGAATAACCCCAAGGCCATAGCTGTTGATCCAACAGCAGGGTAAGGTTACTTACCTGCATTAGCATTTATTTTACATGCTGCATGCTTGCCTGTGACTGAATATGCTTTCTGTTTCGTTCAGGTGTTTAAAAACCTATTTTTTTCCTACCGTATTGAGTTACTTGCATAGTTACTATAATAAAACAGTAATGTGTAGTGAACTTGGAGCAAATAGTTAACTACTATAGTTGCAATATTAATTGCAATATGTCCCTTGTAACTTCTCAAAATGGAATTGAAACTAAAAACAGAATTTTCTCCCTACTTACCGTAAGATTTACTTTTGCCTTTGCTTTTCAGTAAAGTGTATTTCTAACTAGAGTATGTGGAAAAGGAACTTTTAAAGGATTTTTATACTGTATCCCCTCAGTTGCATGAATATTGAAAACGGGTTTAACAAGTTTATTTGCAAAAAAAAAAAAAGTGGAAGAATTTTTACTCCTCTTTAGAGGTCAGCTATAATGGTAAAATTACATTGTATTTGCTGTTTCTCTTCCATAGAAACATTCCACATCACTTAGGAATAAAACTTTTCTAAAAATTCAGGGTACTAAAAGTTCTCTATTCTGTAACATCCACCAGCTGGGAAAGATTTTCAAGTAAAAGCATAACTAAATAGGAATAGTAATAAGAGTAGGATCAAGCTAATTTAAAAACTAAATTTTTGTGAGGATTTTCAAACTGTGATTTTTATCTTGGTTTTATTAGTCAGTAAGTACTTTAGACTGAAATGCCTGGTGGAATATGTCCTAAGCTGCCATAAGCCCCTTCTCAATAAATACAAAAATATTTACTGTAGAACAGCTTGTCATCCATATGTGGACTTTTGTCACTCTTTATTTAAAGCCTGACCAAATATTAAGATGTATTAGCACAATGACTTAAATTCTGACAGGAACAGCTTGCCTGTAAAGTTTACAAAGAAGTTTGGTAATGCAATTCCTGAGTAGAGCTGTATTTCTCTCTGCAGCAGATGGTAAGTTTGACTCGATCTGACTGCAGAGTTGTTTTAAAAGAAAAATAAAAATTCACATAGAAATTGATTTTCTGCAAGTTCTGGTCTGAAAGAACTTGAAGCTTTCAAATTTGCCAACAGCAGCCTTTTTTCCATACGTTTGCTTGTACATTCTTAGCTGGATTTACTACATGAATCCAAAGCTTGTCGTTATCTAATCTTATCTGTCAGGGATGGACGAATTATATCCAAGCCTTTGGTGAGGAGGGATGGAACAGAAAATGAGAGACTGTTTTCCTTCAATTGTTACCTGCTGGCAACAAACCATTCCTACTCAGAGAGTTGCCTTTTCAGTGCCATATGTGAGAGGAATAGTGGCTATTTTAGGTAGATGTAAGTGCTGGCCTCTAGGAAAGGCCAGGAGTGATTATGTTATTTTATAGTGGGATGATTCATGAGGAATATCCATTTATTTCATGGTGGAAACACTTGGTGGAAAATTTTCTCAGAATACATGGTTTGCATATATTGGAGCAGTTATTTCATTGCTGTTTTTATTGGCAGTTTTATTAATTATCTGATGTGTTGTTCTGTTAATTGAATATCTAACATACTGATAAGCTCCAACTTATATATTAGTTCTACTGGTTTTTGTCTGGATTTTGATACAGAATGCAGACAGAAAATCAAAAAACAAGCTGGCTATTTAAAAATGTTTTGATCCCCTTTTTTGTTCTTTTTCTCTTGCTTTTTTTTTTCCTACTTTTTTTTTTTTTCTTCTTTTTGTCTTTGGTCTTTTTATTATTTCACATTGATAGTAGTTAAGACTAATTTTGGTGTCTTAACTAAAAGTGTGGCATAATAAAGTATTAGTGTGGCATTGCTGTTTGGGTAATTCACTGGTTTTATTTCATTTAAAAAATCACAAAAGTATCCATACTAAAAAAATATTGCAAGCTGAGCACTGAATGAGTTGCATGAAAGTGTGTGTGCAGCAGCTTCTTAAGGAAGTTGTGTTTATACACTGTAAGCATATGATTATATGCCCATTTTTTTGGAAGGGTGGTTGTGTTTAAATATGAAGCCCAGGTTGTTCTGGGAGGTTTTATCTCCTGCAAGAATTAAATATTAAGGTATTAAATGTAAGGTATTTGCTCCTGTCACATGTAATGCTGTCCTGGTATGTTCAGTGTCCCTGATGTTCTTCTACAAGCGGAAGGTGTGCTCGCACAGAGAAGAGCATTTCCTATATTAAGAAATTCAGAGTGTCATCACAAGCCTTTATGTCTATGATAAACTTCCTGGAGTAGCACAGAGTCAAGCTTGCTATTCTTGCATGCTCATGTCTGTGCTATGTTTAATTGTTTTATGAACCAGAAATTCTGATTTTACTCATAAAACAACTAAAGCACTGGTGGAAAATGTCTTCAATCCAAATAGTTCCCCTTGCAGCACTGAGGAATGTATTTTTTGAGTGTGGTTAATTTTACATCTCTGTGCCTTCAAGTTTTGATAGATGTTTGGTGCCGTTAGTTTTATATATTCTTCTATGAGCTTACAACGGAACTCGAATTACTAAGCTTCTTTCATATCATACAGTGAATGAAAGAACTTTTGCTATTCTTCCAAAACTGAACTTGAAATTGAGAAAAGAAAGATTCTGCTATTCACACAGCTCTTGCAGAAGCAAGATTGTTATGTGTCTAATCTGAGTATGTTACTTTGGTAGGATTTCAGCACTTTTATCAGTCTGAACTGTGTTTGATGTTTTGACTCTTCCAGAAAAATCCCCCTCTCTACCAATGAACTTACCCAATTAGAGGTTTTGCAGTACTGATTATCTGTTGCATCATCTAATTTTAAGTTCTGAGTAGCACATCAGACCTGTGTTAAGAGACCATAACCAGGGACCAAGTATGTGTTTCCACTGATCACTGTGAGTTCTTCAGAGCCCAGACTTGGCAGTGAAACATGGATTGAAGAAAAAGCTAGGACAAGGTTAGTAGGAAATAAAGTGGCAACCAGAAACAGAGAGGGAGAATAAATAGTTTTGCAATAATATTTTATCTATCAAATGCCTTTGAAGTAAGATGTTTGGCTCCATATGTCTGCAGTTGATAGTTTTGATAAGTTTTAATATGGGACTTCTTTTCTTCAGTGGTCAAGAAACAGAAGTGATTACTTTTGCTAGTCCTTGAAATTGGTGTAAAATTGATGACGGTACTTATGACTGTCACATGAAACAAATATGAGCTGAGTTAGAATGAGTTTATCTCTAGCTAAGGTCTTCAGTAGGTCTGCTGTACTCGTGGGGAATGGCTTTTTAAAGGATTCCAGCTAGTTTGGCAACCGGTGTGCATATTCATGAGACTTTGATCACCGCACATCGGTGATAGGGAAGGTAACACATTTAAAACTCACAAGAGGATAGATCAGATTTAGGTTCTCTCCCAGCTCTGCCACAACCAGCTAAATGTCTATGCACAAAGCATTTCATTTTTTTTATGACTCTGCATCTCCTTGTATTTAATAGGAAGCATAAAACAGCTCAAACTATCTGATATTTGAATGCATTCAGGAACATTAGGAATTAATATTGTAGAATGCAGTTCTAACTGTATACATCTACATATTCATGCTGTAAATATGTCTACTTAATTACCTTCACTGTTCAAGGTAAATTGTTGCCTTCCACTGCACTGCAATGGCAATGGAGAATGTATAGCAACATTTTACAAGGGAAAAATGCCTTGGAGTAAGGCAATACTGCAGTTCCCTCCCAACAGGAGCACTTGAAATGTTGAGTCCTGATTTTACTCCTTAGGCATTCAACATACATGTAGTAATATAAATACCAGTGTCTCCTAATTTCTCCTCGTATCCATTTTCTGTTTTCTTTAGGAATGCCAGAAAATGGGAAAAGACAGGAATAGAGGATAGGGCTGCAACCTCAGGGCTACTGCTGGTTCCAGAAACCAGCAACTTGTACTGATGGCTCTGATGCTATTTGGGATGCTGATCATAATTTTTACTATATTTTCACAGGCTTATGGAAAGAGATGAACTTCAAGGATAACGTTTGAAATGCAGAGGGTATTGATCTATTGCCCACTTACAAAACTTTCCAAACATAACGAGATGTGTGGATAAAGGGCACATAGGGTGAGATTATGAGGATGTGCAGATCAAAGCTAGCGTGTGGAAAGATATGTGGAGCAGTGTGGAGCAGTATTGGGAGTGAGGAAACAGGTTAGACACCTCCTACATGAACCTCTGTAGAATCATCAGAGTATCCCAGAATGGTTTGGGTTGGAAGAGACTTTAAAGATCATCTCATTCCACCCCCCTGCCCATGGACAGGGACACCTTCCACTATCCCAGGTTGCTCCAAGCCCCATCCAGCCTGACCTTGAACACTTCCAGGGATGGGGCAGCCACAGCTTCCCTGCCAGGGCCTCTCCACCTTCACAGGGAAGAATTTGTTTCTTATATCCAGCGGCTCCATGTCTGTCTTGTGCTGAGGACCCCAGAGCTGGACATAGCACTGCAGGTGGGGTCTCACCAGGGCAGAGCAGTGGGGCAGAATCACCTCCCTTGACCTTCTGGCCACACTCCTTTTAACTCAGCCCAGGACACATTTTTCTTTCTGGGCTGTCAGCACACGTTGCCAGGTCAGTATAAAACCAAGGTGTATCAAGGGGGGGAAGAGGATGAGGAAGAGAAGAATTGGAGGGGATGTCTAATTAGAGCCTGAAGTCATTGAAACTTGTAACTACCATTTAAAAGTTACATGAGTAACAAAAGGGAGATTTGCTGCTTTACAAAGGAGATGTGTAAAAGGAGCAAGCTCACATTTTAATACTGCAGCAGTGTGTGTCATGTAAATATTTGAATAAATCTTTTAATCGGCTTTTCCTTCTGCTGTGGTGTAGAAATAAAAAAAAACCCACAAGCTCCACTTATTTCTTTCACAAAACATTTGTAAATGCACACAAGAAGAGATTGTGATATGATGATGTTTGAAGAACAACAGCTATTAATGTGT